TCGAGCAGCATATGGAAGCCCTGGTCGTCTGGAAGGGCGTAGATCTGGGCCGTAGCAGCCTTCTGTCTCATCATCGTTCTGGCCGCACCTGTGAGGTGGAGAAACACGAACTCGATTTTGGCTACGCCCGAGCAGAAAGGGGCCGTAAGAAGGATAGATTTAACACTGTCAATGAAGTGGATGAAGTCATCAGATGAACCGCTGAATGATTTTAAACCTGAAGTATCCGCGAGCTGTTTGGCCCTCCGGTGGCCACGATGATATTCGTCATCCACGTTGGACCTCGTTGTGGAAAAAGTCGTCGGGAGAGCCGAACGGCCGGAACCGTCAGGGGTAGATGCGACGCGGTTGTGATTGGCAGTACCGACTGGGGTTGCTGGAAGGGGGGTCACCGGATCCTTGGGAGGTAGCAAAGTTGTGCGGTAGACGTTGACGCATGTCGAGAGGTCATCACGGCATTTCTGCCTCCCTACAAGAGGGGCGCCGGTGACCTTCGCAGCTGCGAAGAGAAACCCGCACCGTAGCGTTGGATACAGCCAAGTTCCTTGGTAAGGCTCGGCGGAGGTCGGATATGGGAATAGGAGATCCTCGGCAAGTGATTGTTGTAGGGCGTTCAAGTCACCCGCGAGGACCGTGAGAAATTCGTCGGCGTTAGTGGCAGCATCAATAAACTTCGGGTCATCCTTAAGGGCATCGTAGAGGGCGTTGCCAACCGGTTCGAGAGAACGAAAGTAGGCGGCATTAACTTCAGAGGCGATCTTGTCCTCGAGGGCGAGAACGGCTTTGATAAGGACGTCAGTTCTCGGCTCAGCCCCCAATGTTGTAGTTCCAGTTGAACTCATCTTCAAAGCCGTTGTGGGATAAGCAGATTATTGCTATCGAATACGAATGGGAAAAACGGATGGATAGCTCAAACCCCTCGCGTCACGTCACGCGTCACGTCACGCGTGTTGTCACGGGACACGAGTAGGGCGAGCGATAAGGCGAAAGGATGTTGAATGACAATTGTGGGGAAAAGTATGATAATCGTCGATCATCGGTCACTGTTCCTCATCACTAGCAAGTTGCTAGTAGCAACTGAGAGTCCGAATGGCAACAACTTCAAGTTGGAGGATTCTATCAAGCCTACGCTTAAAATGATGCCGATGGCCCCACCCGGGTTCTTGCACGGTGCAAGTTGCACCCTCTCGGGTCGAGGGCCTCGGCCAGGCCGAGTCGGCCTACATAAGGTAAGTTCAGCCGGACGTAAGAACCCCGCCTCGAACGAGAAGGAACCATATTCAGTGGGTAATGCGTACAGGTTGGCAATGCCAACCTTATCGTCGATGAAGGGTAACACGAAGGGTTGGTGCGATTATGGCGACGATGGTGACCTTTTTCATAAAAAGCGTAGAAAAGAGGGCCAATCGAGGTCATCGACTACGGACCGAGTCCAGCAGTGAACTCGAGAGAGAGAGAGACTGAAAATGTATCTTGGAGGTGTATTTGAACTGATTTATATAATAGGTGTTAGTTGTTGTGTTGGTCACTGGTGCGCTATGCTAAGGAAGGGTATCGGAGAGACCAGTGGAGAAAGGTCTGGTGGATCATGCGCATAGGCATGACTCATGCCGCATGAGCACCTGAAGACCTGGAGCTGCAGAGAGACGATGCTAAGGATTCGAAATGTTCTTGAGGCGATCAAATCTCGGCTCCAGCGCCAGTCTTTGGCGTGAGAACTAAGGAATCGACGCAGTAAGTGCGTTGGAATCGTCAATTGAAGGCGAAGGGGCTGGCTCGTTTGCCAAGCCAGACGGTGGGATCCGTTCAGCTTCCCTGTGGTACTTCCGCCTAGTGGGATGACCGGCAGTTTGACCGGTAGTCTGATTGTGGCAGACCTCGAACTTTGGGCGGATGTGCTGATACTATCAACTCGATAGCCGGTTGTCAACAGAATCTGTTGAACAGATGTCCCGTCTCAGGGACGCTAGATTTTGTGCCGAAGGGCCGTGTCGCGAGCCTCGCGTCTCAGGATTCATCTCGCGACGCGAGGCGAGCCCAGGGAGAGTAGCCTCGATCGGGAGGAAAGCTGGACGGAACTCGGTGACCCCAGAGTAGCATGCCTTGAACTGGCAAGGAATGGCCTTCTCAGTCTGACGCGGCCGCGGTGGAGGACTGAGCCCTCAGGACTCAGCATCCTCGGTAGATGGAAGTTCCATCATGGAACCGTAGACGCCGACAACGATCAACGCGTGAAGGCTGATAGCCTTACTGAAAGTGAATGCCCGAGAAAACTGAAGCCGGCTTCGCTCGCGTGGGCAGAATCGACTCGAAGGCCACAACCTTCAAGGTTGTACTCCTAAAGTTGAACCCTGGGAGTACCTGACTGGAAACTTTCCGGCGGAAAGCCGCAACTGGTGGGAATATTCGGGTTTTGCTTATGGAAGCGATTTTGAAAGCTACGCAATCAGAGTGTCCGATTCGGAGACCTCCGAGCCATTGGGCGTGGCGCTCAGAAGCCTCACGGATCGAGGAGACTCTCGGAGGAGTGCCGTCTGTGAGCACCTGCGACGACCCAATTAGTGAGTTATATGCCCCTTCAGTCAGGGTAGGGTCCGCCAGTGCATGGCGACCATGTCGTACGAGCTACGTATATCCCAGTGGTGCTCATATCGCATCCGTGCGGGCCGGGGTCTGGTTTGGGGAGCAAGCATCGGTTGGTCGACCGTGCGCAGCGTCGCATCGCCGGCACGTGCCCGCCGCAGAGCAACTTGCGCGGCGCTCGTCGGACTAACTCGATGCTTCGAGGCCTGGAAGCACAGACACCTTCTGTCTTCCAGCCCACCAGACCCACGCGTTCAAGAATGGGATATTTA